TGGGTTCTTAAAGAAATGTAGGCTGTTATTTAGACGACAGGATCTTGATGTCATCATTTTTGTATAAAAATTTTTCTCATGCAATATTGCCGAACCTCACATATTCAATCTCTTCTCATGAAAGTTTTGTTGAGTAGAAAAATCTTAGATTGAGTATATAATAAAGAGCTACTATATTTATTGTAAATTAATTTTAAATTAGATACAAATTTTATGTTGAATCACACATGCACAATTTTCATGATTTTATCTTAGGAAATTCATTTTTAGCTTACTTAACAGGACTTAAAGTCAATTCTAGGTTTGCATGTAAAGGGGATGTATTAAATCAAGTAATAGGATTCAACATTCATAATTAACTTACATGTGAAGGAATATGTTGAATGAAAAAATCACATTGAGTTAGAAAATATACTTTATCTATTACTAATTAATTTTAAATTAAATACAAACTTTATATTGAACCTCACATATACAATTTTCACAAGTTTTGCATTTGTCAACTAGTTGTGATCGACAATTTATTATGTCATATTACTTTGCCAATTAACTCAATATGGTAGATCAATAGTTAAGAATTTGAGATTTCAAGTTGAAGATCTCGAGTTTAAACCTTGAGTCAAGTGGAGGGAGATTTGGAAATAGAGGAGAGCTATCCCCTCTTGTATAACCCATCATTGATGTACCAAAAAAAAAAATATTACTTTGCCAATTTGTTACGTGACGTTAATTACTTCCCATTGCGGAGGTGAAATGGGATCCAATGAAGTGTGAAATTGAACTTCTGTCAAATTAATCAACAAGGCATATGCTTTATGTTATATCACTTATTAATAACTTTGTCATTAATTTTAGGCTGCTTTCTGAGAAAATATGGATTAAACTAATTTCCAAAATACATCCTGTCTTATTTATTTTAAAAATAATAAATTGACTTACGTTTTGTGAACATGAATCCTAATTAACGGACTGGCATGGTCCGGGTAAGGAAGATTCTAGGCAGAAGGTACAATTGAGCTCCTCTACTTTAATTATTGTGGCATATCAACCCTTTTACTTAAAAGTAGTGCAAATGAACTCTCCTACTTTATCAAAACCCGCAAATCAGCCCCTCTGTTAATGATGACATCATCTTTCCTTCTTGCTTTCCATTGCCCCGTTAACCTCAGCTTACTTGGCATTGACTGAACATAACTAGGCGATTTTTGACAACTTGGCATGACTTTTTTCTTTGACCTTCGTTTCTTTCGTTGCGTATACACAATAAATTTTGAATTAATATTTAAAGAACAGTGA